CATTACATCGGAAACAAATTTCTTGCCCTGTGTATGGTTGCATTAATTGGTAATGCCAATTATTTTTGCAGTAGGTTTTCAAGCTGCCAGGTTTCATTGAGACATTCATGGGGATCATTTCTTGTTTTTCTCCTTAGCAGATTTTCCCCAGTAAAAAAAAGGATCAAAGACAAAAGTAGGAAAATTGGAATGGGTACAATTGGAAGATGGCATTGTCTAGGGCTCTTCTCTTACACAGAAAGAATCACACAGAAAGAAAGAAAAAAACCTCACCTGGAAACACATAAGAATGAAAGGAAGTTTCCAAATAAAGGATTTTAATAGTTGTGTCTGATTAAATTCTATGTTCTAAGTTATATCTCTTAATAGACTATTGCATGCAGGACTATTATCAGAAACACCAATGAACAAAGATATTAGGAAGTATTTCACATTGATACACGTTTCTGTTAATGCAAATAAATGATTTCTGGCAATAATCAGACAATGATAAAAAGATAGGAAATATATTTCTGTACTATTTCAAAATTTTGAAATAAAATAGAAATGGGGAATATGTTACAATAGAACAATAATGAGTATTACTTTAGTGAAAATAGTTAGACATATGGCAATAAAGAAAAATACTAAATATCTCATTAATATTTTATAAAAGGTTTATAATATGAGTTCTGATCAATGTCAGCTACAGCAAGAGCTGGAAGTGAAAAACTTTCTTGTTTATTTAGGCAGTGTCAAGTTATTGGAATTTGCTAAGGAAAGAAAAGTTTTAGATAAGATCAAGGAAATAGCAGGGATAAGAAGGATTTCTTTTAGGCAATGAAGGTTGTCATACATGTTTATTTTGGCTTTGGCTGGAATTGCTCTAAGTGTGCCTTGCAAATCAACAACTACAGCATCCTTGACAGACTGGAACAGCAAAGTTTTATTTAACAAATGGAGAAACCACGGGACAATAATTGTTGCTTTCCCTGGTATATTGTTTTCTAGTGTTAATTAATGTTGCCTACTGCCCATAGTCTTTATGGCATTGGACAACCTTATACATTTGACTAATAAATAAAATAAAAAAGATAGAAGGACAATAGATAAGTATTTATTTACAAAAGTCTAGCATGGATTTCTAAGTTTATAAATACCTGTATTATAATGTTATGAATTCAATTTTTATTTTTTATTTTTATTTATTTATTTGTCAATTGCTTACAAGATAATAGATATAAGTAAAAACATAGTTATGAATACATGGATACATATAAGAAAAATAAAAAATAAAAGAAACAATAGGACAGGGATGGTAGGCACGTTGGTGCGCTTATGCATGCCCCCTACATTTTGCATTAAATTCTAAATTCTGCACAGTTGCAGTAGATTAAAATCTATTTTCTTTTTCAATCACCACAAAACAGATCTGAAAAGCCTAGAAAGACACCTTAGAACAAACTGAATGCACAGTTTGGAAAATTATGTTGTTGATTACTCCATGCAAAAATGAGCATTTTGGATGGCAGATATAAAGGAATACCAGTGGCACCTAGGAAATGCCCTTGTGCCTCTGATGAATGTAACATGTTTTCCCCAAGGTGTAAATTCTATGCAGAGCTGTGCTGTCAGTGCATTTGCTCTCTAATTACACGACTGCCTGGTTACCATATACCTGGATATTTTCTGACAGTATCCTAAAGCCATCTTTTAAATTGCTGAGCTTTTTGCCTTAGGCCTATGGCTACATTGCATCCATATTTATCCAGAAAGGCATCCCATCTATTAAACAGTTATAATGCTATTATATTTTTGGATTGTGCTTGGATTAACTAGAGAAAATGGTCCATGGAAGAATAGTTACTCCTGAGCCAGAGTTCTCAACCCATATGCTCACTCTCACCCACCTTCCCACAATCATTTTTGGTTGCTAAACAGCAAGAGAACAATCTAATCACAGATTTTAGTAATTGTGTTTAATGGCTCTCACAGAAATCTAACCATTAAATGTGAAAGAACTTACTTCCTTTGCTTGAACTTTCATAATACAGTACATTCTTGACAGTCCCAAGGCACATATGGAAGGCTGACAGGAAAGGACATAACTCTTTCCTGATTTTTTTTCCCCCCTCACAGAAACACACATATTTGTGAACCTTGTTTTGTGACCTCAAGAAACTACTACACAGAAAACCTTAAAATCTTGTTTCCGGTTTGCTTGAAGTATAAATTAAGTTCTATTGTATAAGCTTTGTTTCTGATCCAGATTGCATGTATGTCTGCAGGTATCCACGCATACCACATAGTCGGATGTCCCTGGCCAGTTCTTCCGTCCTCTTTTGTACATCCACTGAATGAGAAAAAGAGAATGGAAACTGAGTGTGAAATCCTACCATTGCTGCATTTTTAGTATTATTATTCTTATATTTCACCATTATCTTTTGCACCTCCAGACTGCATCTACAATGCTCCTGCCTCCTTCTTTTGCTTCAACATCAGTCCTGCAAGGTGAGTTGGGCTGAAAGACAGCGACTTGCCAAAAGTCATCCAGCTGGCTTTCATTCCTAAGAGAGGATTAAACCGTATACAATAGCACGTTGTTCAGCACCTTAACCACTGTGCTAAACTTATTTATAATTTAGTTCTTTATAAAACTGGGCTCTCTTATAAGAATCTGGGTAGGCTTCACAATTCTACAGAATTGTGGAATCACAGTCTATAAAATTATGCTGCTGTTCTTTCAAGAAACCTATTTATAGCAGCCTGGGCAGGTGGAATTAGATATTTCTTATCAGCATTATCAATCTTATATATCTAGAGCCATCATACAGGGATGCAGGTACCCATACAGGTGGAGGTAAAAGTGATTCGCTTTTTGAACCCTTTGGTCCTCATGCATCAGAATGCCTTTTCTCTGCCCATAGTTAGGGTAAAGCATGCAAGGTTTATAAAAAAAAAATGCTTATAAAAATGAAGTTAGAAAATTTTAAAACCTTACCTCTAATTCCTAATTAAAATGAAGTACATTTGAAGTGGACTTCCTTCCTTCCTTCATGGTCCTTCTTTCACAATTAAAGTGCTTCTTTTAGTAAAAAAAAAAAAAGTATCTCACTTTTAAATATTTATTTAATTAAAAGGTGAATAATTTGTTCTCTGTGAAATGAAATGTGGCTTATCATTGCAATAAGAGTGCAATCACCTGTGTGTCAATTGAGATTACTTCCATGGAATACAAGTTGTTGTCGGGGGAACATAGAAGGAGGAAGGAGTATTATGTATCTTTGCCACCTTGAGTTATTTATAAAAAATAATTAAGGCAAGATAAAAAAATACATAAATTAATAGGCTATTCCCTTCTAGAGACTGATGAGCAGTACTCTTGCAGAGCCTGCAAAGAGTGATAGGCACAGTTGTTGTACACAAGCCTGTCTATTTTTTTCACAGAAAAACAATGATCACTAACATTACAAATCTATTATAAAGATACTGGTCATTCTTCCTGTACTTCAGTCCCAACCTAGCATTTGTCTTGTTAGAATGACCCTGACTGGAAACTTTATCAACCAAAGCCAGATGTAAAAATTAAGCATTTGTCATATGTTTTGACATGTTTTACTTTTAGTTATATTAATCATAAAGAAGGCAGGTACTAAATGACCAATTTCATCCTTGTGTTACGATATATTTAGAGTAACCATACTTCCTTAGAAAAAATAAAGGACAAACCTGAAGAAAGAGAAAATCTGAAAGAGATTCATATGAAAAGAAATCTCAAATGTTTAGGTTTATAACTTTGCTTTACAAAGCAAAATTCAAGAAAAAAAACCAAGAAAATCTTTACAAAAATGTATATTTAAATAAAAACATCTAAATCAAGCTTTGTATATTAATATATTTTTAAAAGATAATTCAATCTTTTTTCATGAATGTGAAAGATTGTGATTGAATGATACCATTTATATGATACAAGTTAAATGACTAAAAGAAAAAATGAAAAATGTAAAGAATAAATAAATCTAAAGGACAGCTTTCTGAAAAAACGGACTATCTTTTAAAATAAAGGAGGTGTAGTCATTGTGGACCAGTGTTTCTCAAATATGGCAACTTGAAAAGGTGTGAACTTCAATTCCCAAAATTCTCAAGCCAGAAGCTGTCTGGAAAATGCAAGTTGTCAAGGTTAGGAAACACTGCTGTAGACATAGTACAGCGTCTGTATTTCTATTGTTTGAGAGCTTAGGAGAAGGTGGGCTGTATGTAACATTCTGATAAATTATATATATATTTCTTCCTGCAGCAATTGAGCACCAGGATCTGGATAAAGCAAATGCGCCGTAATCAATAGAATACAATATAATATGTGCTGTATAAAATCTAAAGTGCAAAGTTCTGTGTGTTCAATTCCTGGTAGAGGGCTTCAACCCTATTGAATAACATTTGACCTCCTCCTTTAAGTCCCAATAAAGATTATTCCTGATAAAAAAAAAACACCACACAGATTATAAATCTGTTTCTAGGAAGGATGTTGGTAGAAGAAATATGTTTAATTTTAACATTATTGTTGTCAGGGACATTGACAATCCAGGCATTATCAGTGTATTGATGATTTCCAATTAACATCTATAATCTCCTTTTAATGTGACTTTCAGCAGAGATGAAATGCCTAAACAAAAATCAAAAGCAGAGCAATTAATTTTATATCCTCTGCTAGTTTATGGCTTCTATTCTATTTCTGAAGTAAGAACAATAGAAAAGGGATAATTGTCTTTACCTCATTTATACATTTTAGAGGCAATGCCAGTGGGTAGGATCCATTATCACTTCAGATGAACTGAAATATTTTGATCTACTGCTGGGAAGGGCAGATTCTTGCTGGTGGAAATGGCATCAGGAAACTAAGTGTTCTTGCTTTAGGGACAGTGACATTCAGTTTCTTCCATTGTTTAGATTTGTTGTCTAAGCAGCAACGCCCCTTTCAGTTTCACGAACAGGGTATATTTGATGTAACTTCCTTTGAATCTGCAGCAAAACAAGGATCACAGCAGTGAACAGGAGAAGGAATATACAACCACCCCAGCATTGTTTAGAAGAATTATCCAGGACAAGCTGGCAGGTAAGAAATGTAAGTCTAGAATTTGTGTATATACTTAATTTGTGAAGAAGTGAAATTTAAAATGGACTGTTCTTGCTGTACCCTTGCTCAGGTTAATACAGACAAGAATGTGACAAGTCTGAGCAGAAAATAAAGAATGGATTAGGGATTTGTGGGAGGTTTAGAGGTTTAGAGCGAAGACATTTAGAGTCTTCACTCAGGAAATCAAGTTTGCAGGTAGCTAAGTGGCTGACATTTGAGGACAAATCAGTAGAGCACATCTCTTCAAAGGCATCCAAAAATCAAAGTTACATGGAAATCAGTCATCTGATATAGATACTTAAAAAAAAAAGAGCTAGATTAGGAACAGAGTAATATTTTTGAGCCTTTCTTTGAATCTGAAACTTGATTGCAACTTTTGTTTTTTGTTTTAAAAAGGGGAGTCTGTGTGCGCATGTGTTTTAAAACTCCAAAATATTTGCAAGTTTTACTTTACTTGGTAATGCCTTTGAAATTATTGCTTTGATTGCATTGATCTCTAAAAATATTCTTATCTTGTAGAATGTTCTTCCAGAATGTTGCAATCTAATTTACTCATAGGTAATATTGGAATTTCCTCCCAATTAGTAGTGCAGTTTTATGTAATTTTACTCAGATTACAGATTGACAGAGTTGGAAGGGACCTTGTAATATAAGCTTCTTTGGTTTTAATGGGTTAACTATGCTTCAAAATGCAGCTGGAGTAATGCGTACAACTGTAGATGAAATAACTAAAATTTAAATGGTGACTTTAAAAAAGTTCATCCTAAGCATCAAAGATTTAGATATTGTTAGAGAAATCCAGATGCTTTGCACTGAGTATGTTGATTGACAGGCAGATAGATAAATGGACAGCATGATTCTTCTTGTCTCTGTGAGTCAAAGATAGACTTTTGTTGATGTTCAATGATCATTGTTTCTAATCATATTTTGATGGCCATAGTTGCCCTTCCTCCATCCCTGTAAAATAATTCATTTGCACAGGCCTGGATTCTATATGAAAATTATTTGTGTTTTAATTGCAGAAAAAAAAATGAAAACAATGACTGGGACGGGAAACTCAGTTATTACTTTCATAGTTTACTGACCATCCATTCAGTTGCATAATTGTTTAACAACTGGGTAAAGATATATGACTATTTGGATTAAAAGGTTAACATTGTGTGAGACACTGGGAAGTTAGCCAGGTAAAACCAGAGGAATTGTGACTTATCACAAAAATTTCCTATTTCCTTTTGAGAAGCATGCCTTTCATTTTAGATGCGTAAAGCCTAAATGTAATAGCTTTGCAGCTCTCAGTCTGCTTCCTGAGGATTTGAGGTAAATAGCTTTTTACTATTTTGGATACTAAACTGAAGGTGCTTCTCAGTACAAGATGTGAAAAATCATGGAAATAGGAATAAATATAAGACTCTGAGGTGGTAACTTTTGACAATACCAGGGACAGAACAGTATTAAGCATATCTCTGAATTAGCTTTCTCCTTCCAGAATGTCAAATCAGAAGCCTATGTGAAGGCTACAAGACCAATCACATTCTCCTATTCCTGAACTAATGGAAAGCCGAAGTTTACTAATTTCAGTACTGGGGTTCGTAGTTAAAAAAAATCATGAATTTATTTGTGTTTGAAAGCCACTTTAAGTAAAGTCCTAGATTCTGTAAACACTTACGGAAGAACAAGTATGTGACCAGACTCTTCCTCATTTCACCTCATTCATCTGAGACACAAGGAACCTTGGTGGCCCACTGGGAATCATGCAGCCTGTTGCAACTAATTTATCAGCTTCATACCTTTCCTGAACAGGGTGGCCTGGCTATAGTGGTTGTGCTCTGTCAATGTTTAGCATATCAGCCTTTTGGGCACCAGGGACTGGTTCCGTGGAAAGAGGTTTTTCTGTGGACTGGAGGAGGCATGGTTTAATGTGCTTCCTGCATCATATGGACGGGACTTCGCTTGTTTGCATGGCCTAGTTACTGGCATGCTCCTGTTGTATATATTTCTGCAAGGACTTTATCGTCTGTTCCTGAAGATGATATAGAGGCTGGACTGATGTTTGAAGGATCCTTTAGATGGTTTTGGACTTTCATACTTAAGTAACATTTTTTCTGCTCTAATATTAAGGTCTACGATGTGGGCAGGAAACTCACCTCAAGGCCTCATAACTGAGCAAAACTCATTATCTGGAAAGGGGAACAAAGCTTTCTCTTTTGAAATACAATGGTTTGAGAATGCCCTTCCTCTTAGCACCAGACTGGCCCCACACCGTTGTTCAACAGTCCCAGATGAATACTTGGTTTTCTGTTTGAGCATTTGTTGAATGTCTCTTGGGAAAATATTTGTGTTTGTGTTGTACTAACTGTTTTACTCCTGGACAGTTTTCCACCCAATCTTTATTGTGTTTGTAAGTACACAAATCTCACCCCATCTCCAAAAGCTCCCATGCTTTGATTACAATGGTTTTCCTTTTTTGCAACATTTTCTGGTTCATAATGCAGTTTCCAACAGACAACAGATCAGGACATAGTCAAAAATCAGTTTGCTCCTAACTTATCTAAGATGATGCAAGAGGGTAGGGGGTCTATGGGGCGATGCTCTGTTTTCTATAAAGGCTAAACATTTGCATGGTCAGCTTCTCTGTGCATGGCTCCCATCTGTTCCTGCATGGACAAAGGCAGTCTACCCAAAATGAAGTAGAAAGCCATTGCTTCCTGACTTGCTCCAATTCTCCATGTGGATTTGCCACCCTGCTTTTTTTCCTTGTTGTAACTGAAAACAAAAGTAGGATAATTGAAAAGGTTGAATATTATTCTCTGAGAGAGCACATTTTATATCAAAATATTTCCCAGTCCCAAAGAAATCCAAACAGCTCTTCTGTATCTTGTGTCTTGCCCTTTTATTGCTTGATCCTCACCTTTCTTTATCTGACTAACTGCATTTGGAGCAGATGCCATTGAAGAGGAAACTATATCCGTCATCCACTTCCTCACAATTGCATCTTCTCATATCACTATGATTTCTTAAGTTAAGTCATCACTGTTTTGTAAATGAACTAAACCCACCTATTCAATATTCCTATAGCACTCTTGAGATTGTTGTTGTAAGCCACTTAGAGTTATGATCTAAGGTGGGAAGCCATACAAAACTATAAAGAAACAAGCAAACAAACAAAAGTGGTCTCCAAACTTTGCCTAGAGGTGGAGCTCATCAATCAGGAGGCTGTGAGTTCCATCCTATGTAGAGGCTAATATTTGGAATAGACCTGTGATGGCGAACCTATGGCATGCGTGCCACAGGTGGCATGCAGAGTCATTTGTGCAGGCATGTGAGCCCCAGCCAAACTTACCTGCACTGCGCATGCACGTGCCTCCCAGCTGGTTTTTGGCCTCCCAGAGGTTCAAGGGAAGCCTCTGCAGCCTTTGGATGCCAAAAAAACAGGCCCGTTTCATCACTTCCAGTATTGGAGGCCAAAAAATGGGCCCGTTTCATCACTTCTGGTATTTGGAGGCCTCAAACGGGCCAAAAATCAGCTGGGAGGCGTGCGCATGCGCAGTGCAGGTAAGGAGGCGGCAGTGTGTGTGTGTGTGTTTCATGGGGGGGCAGGACATATTGCATTGTGGGGGCTGGCACACACGCGCTTTTGGCACACCACAACGAAAAGGTTCGCCATCACTAGAATAGATTCTCCTGCTTGAGAAGGGGGTTGGACTAGATGACTTCCAGGGTCCCTTCCAATTTTGTTATTCTAGAAGCCCGTTGGGAATATGCTACGTATCATTTTCCTCTTGAAGATGGAAATGAAAAGAGGAGCAGACGTCAACTGCATTTTAGTTTAAAGCTCTGGGTGGCTTTTTCTAGGAGTCTATCTTAACAAGCATGGGAATAAGATAGGATGCTTAGGCATCCAACATGGCTACAAGGAAACTTTCTGTTTTAAGTTCTTAAGCACCACTTCCTTCCAGGAAGAAGACAAACTATGAAAAACATCCTTCTGAGGCTTATCCAGACAAAACTACTTATTAATTCTCTGTGACTTGTAAGCCATAGTGCAGCAGTAAAGCCATGAAGTGACTTGTCTGATCCCTGAGCATAAACAACTTTGAAGGGCAGAAATTTATATCAATTTAAGAGATTAAAGAAGCAATTAAGGAACAGATTAAAGAAGAAAATTATAATTGATAGGGTGACTGGCACAGATAGGCTAAAAAATACATAGAAAAGAAACTAGCAGTAACACGATTGAAGATGAAAGAAATTAAAACCACAAAAATAATACCAAATATATGGGAGGAGGAATCTATAATAATACAAAAAGGGAATGGCCTGAAGAAACCTCAAACCTATAAACCAATTTCTTTTTGAGTATTGATTACAAGATGTGCACCGTTGTATTAGCTGAATGTATGAGGAAATACATTCCCCAAGTTATACACAGGGATCCAGTTGTTTATAAAAAGGAAAACAGGGCCTTTTTCATAAATGCACTAGAATTTATCAACATTTTGGGAGAGAAAAAAAAACTGCAGTACTATTTCTGCAGAAAAAAACTTTTGACAATTTGGAATGACTTCTTTTTTTTTAATTGGAGGTTATATATATCCCGGGAAAGAATTCAAAACTTGGAAAGAGAGTACATGCCAACAATAAACCACAAAGATTACAGTGAACAAGAACCTCTATGAAAACTTTTCAATTAGCAGAGTCATAAGGCTAAAGTGTCCACTTGTATTTGGATTTGTAATTGTTCTGGGAGTGTTGGTGAGCACAATCTGGAAAGATAAATATGCAATTTGGATCAAAATTCAAGGACAGGAATAAAGGATGAAATGTTATACAGATGATGTGGTATTAACAATTGTAAAACCACAAAGCTCTATACAATAAAATTACTCAAATAGTTTGTTTGCTTTTCCAGATGAAAAGTCAATGAAAAAAAAAAAAGCCCACAACAAAATAATAAAGCATCTAACTTCCAAAGCGGGGAA